AGTAAAGGGAAAGAAGAAAATGATCCGAAAATCAGGGAAAAACCGTGGTCGCGTGAGTGGCAAATTTCGACTAGTCACGTCACATAGCTTAACCTTGCCTCCTAGGTGAATCTGAAGTTTTTTTTTAAAGTATTATTTTTCGTTAAGTTACTTTCTACTTACTCTTTCTACTCCTACTAAGTTCATTAAGTTACTAAGGTTAAAATTAGCGGCTCGAATAGAATATGGACTGAATGAATCTGGATGAAGAAAAATACCCTTTCTTAGTCGAAATGTTTTTCGATGATGATACAATTGATCAGCATCAATCTTGGTCGCAAAGTACTCATCCTTTTCCTGTCCAAACGTTTCTGCGCCCCTCTCCGCCCAGGTTAGGTTTATTTGACTACTGACCCTCCCCACACCAATGATATATTCCTAGCCAGGTCTCTGGACGAAACTCACAAGAATGGTATGATCCTAGCGAGGAATGTTGAATGTTGTCCAAGGCGCAATGTTTGTTTTCCCTCGGGTGCCTTTGTCCACATTGAAATGGCGCGGCGAGTCCCAATTGGACCGCGTTAAGCAGAAAGGCACCAAGCCACATCAGTTGTTGCCTAATTTAATTGGTCAATTTAATTTTTTACACAAAAACAGTCGTGCGGATTTTTGTGCAAATTTTAGTGAATTTTCTGCATAGTAAAAGGCGAATTTTTTAAAATTTTCCAAGAAATCCGCACAGACGTTTTCTTGTAAAAGATGAAATTGCCCATTTAAATTTGGCAGTAGCTGATGTCGCTTGGTTCCTTTCTGCTCGACGCGGTCCAATTTCATTAACGCGGAGTCGCCCTCGAAAGAGCATATTTACCTTTCATTTAGCTCGGGAGTGGCAGTGGTGAAGGTAGTCTGCCGTACTAAGGAAGAGCGCCGTATGAACACTCGAATGTTGCCAAATTTCCCTCGAGAAAATTTTTATTTTTGAGGAAAATTATGAATATGTTTCCTTAAAATTATCAGACACTTTAGGTCAAGTTACAAACAAAATTATCTGAGAAATTGGCGGGAAAATATTCAAAAATTTTCCTGAAAATTAGAGATTTGCTAGAGGAAATTTGGCAACGCCCGAAGGTTCATACGGCGTTTTTCGTTAGAACGGCAGTAGTGGTCGAGGCTCGGGCGTAACCTCATCAGGATCGCCCGGCTCGGGTGCCGCGCGGCGCGGCGTCGGGTGCCCACTGCCCCCGCTACGCCCCGGGTCACGGGTCACGGAGGGGCCGACCCACCCTCGTGCCGCACGCCACGGCCGCCGAGACGTGATGGTCCGCGCACCTCAACAACAGCGGCAACAGCACCCACCGACCAACTCTTAATTAACCCAACCCGGGGCTCGGACGTGTCTCCCCTCAATTTATCACCTCCCGGGGGTTTTGTTTAACCCTCCCCCCCCTCCGCCCCGCCGCTCTTGGCTCGGTTACGCTCTCGACGTGAGAGACGGTGGCTCATATCGAGGACTGTCGCTCTTCAGTCTCGGAGCTTTGATCCGGCCTCGCCCACGGTGCAGCCTCCAGCGGGCCGATTATTGAAACTGATAGACAAAGCGATAGACAAAGAAGACATGGGGAGTATGGAGCTATCCTATTGGTTGACTTGGTTGGTTCCTATAGACTAAGGAAGAAAATGATGGAGTAACTGTCGGGTCTTTGGTGGGTTGCCGTTAGTTAGTCCATTACCTACCTCCTATGTCCATTGCCACCACCCGCTTCCACCAATAGGATCCCTCCAAATCCCTTTTGTCGTCTTTGTCTATAGCTTTGTCTATCAGTTTCAATAATCGGCCCGCTGGAGCTCGACTCGTCTAACATTTCGAGAGTGGAAATGCGAAACTTGCTACGCGCCATCGGGTGTTGCAAAGGTTGTGAATGGTCTTCCTCAATGTAGAAGAGCCTGAACCTCTTTGCTTCGTGGACTTTTAATGGGGACATTTTTCTAAATGCTCTTAATTTCGTGACAAAATTTTCATTCTCAGGTCACTATTTCCGATGCGAAGGAAACTTGGATCGCTAATCTCACTAACGAGACAGAGTGATTTTCAAGCACTGTAAATTTCTGAATACACGGAGGTAGCCTCCATTTTTCTTGAAGACCCGACGGTTTTCCATCTCGAAGGGATCTTTCCGGGAAATTCGCCCATTTCCTCTGTGGAGTCTTTCCCTGCTATCGCCAAAACATGGGTCATCGATAACCTTTACCAGGAACATTTACATGCCTAAGTGCAATATCTGAAGTCACGGGGAGAGCCCTTGTTTCTCAAGGATCCAACAGTTTTCCATCTTGGAGGGATCTGTCCGGGAAAATCGCCCATTTCCCCTGTGGAGTCTTTCCCTGCAAACGCCAAAACAAGGGTAATCGATAACATTCACCAGAAACACTTACCATGCCTAAACGCAATTTCTGAAGTCACGGAGAGATCCCCCGTTCCTCGAGGATCCAACAGTTTTCCATCTTGGAGGGATCTTCTCGGGAAAACCGCCCATTTCCCCAATAGAGCTTTTCCCTGATATCGCCAAAACAAGGGGCATGGGTAACATCTATCAAGAACACTCAAATGCCCAAATGCAGAAGCTGTATGATGTTTTCTCCTCTGTCGAGAAAGAGGTTTTGCTCCAATGTATACTGAACTTACAGATCGGTTAAGGCTGAGGATGTTAACATACCGCATGGATCATGGGAACACTGCCATGGCAGATTCCTGGACGGAAGCGATTCTCCTGGCAGCGGTGCATCGCGGTGCATTGAGTTTAGGGTGCACCCAATTATTGGGATCGTTTGCTTGCGATTAGCGATGCATTATGCAAAATGGGACACCGGCGCGGTCGTCTCCGAATGCATCATTTTGACCCACTCGCGTCGTTTTGTATCGGACTCTTATCAGTCAATTAGCGCCAGGAGTTTTCACATTCGCGTCCTGCCTAACAATGAGTCGGGTAGCGCTCCTCGCTAACGAACTGCAGCTCCGCTTTTTTCACTAACACTAACTCCCTGGTCCGTGGATAGGTCAGCCCAAGTCCCGGACCCAGAATTCATCTGCATCAGAATAGAAAGGGAGGTGGAAAATAGTTGAGCACTAATGAAAGCGCCTCAACTCCCATCCTTGTCCTTTCTCATCGACATTATGTTTTGAGAAACACCTAACAGAGGCAGGGGCGGACTGGCCATGGGGGCGGGGAGGCGATCGCCTCCTAACAATTTGCCACGGAGGTCCCGAAGGGGCCCCCGCGGCGAATTTTTTTCGAGTTATGGTTTTACCCCTGTAATATTGTAATTTTTTTATCCTATTCAGTCACTAAAAGGTCCCAAAATCCTTGAAAATTTGTCTCTAAGTGACATGAAAGGTCGTCTAAAGCTTTTGTGATGAAGGGGCCCCCGAAGAATCCTGAGAATGGGTTATTTTGAAGTTCAAATACTGTAGAATTTGACTCCAATAATGCATAAAATTGCGTTTAAAAAGTGTGTAATTTTCCACATTTTCCGGGGGAGGGCCCCCGGATCTCCTTAGAGGGGCCCCCAAAATCTAGGTCGCCTCCTAACTTTTCGACTTCCAGTCCGCCCCTGAACAGAGGGCGCACCTCTCCAAAGGCGATTATTGAAAGTTGGCAACATTGTTTTTCCTTCATTTAAATGTATGCATAACTATCGATTCTTGGTGAGGCAGCTTGCATCACCTTTTATATAACCTCCTCCTATATAATATACACTCCTATACAGGGTGATCCAAAAGTCCCTTCCACCCCCTCTAACTTTTTACCTAATTGAGGTAAAGATTTGAAACTTGGGGGATATTCCTAGGTCAAAGGGAGCTACTTTTTGGCCCCCCTAAAATTTTCAGGGGGGCCCCCCTTAGGGGGGCAACGGCCCCCAACTTTTAATTTTCAAATGGGAAGACCCCCTTTGTGATAGCTCGTTCGAAAGAGCATAAAAAAAGAAAACTTTTTGCGCAAACCCGAAGTCAATATCTCAAACCGTTTCAAAATGGCGGCCGGTTAAAGTTCAAAATGGCCGAAAATTCACACCGGTTATTTGTTGATGGATTTGCGCGAAAATCGGTACGTAGGGGTATTTTGACACGAGAAAAACGAATTTGACGTTAGATTTTCAAAAAAACCAAAATTTCCAAAATTGCCGACGGTTAAAGTTTAAAATGGCCGAAAATTGTCACCTCGGTTTTTTCCGGATGGATTTGCCTAAGACTTGGAATTTGAGAGTATTTTGGCATAAGATAAACAAATTTGAACTTACATTTCTAAAAAAATCAATTTTTTGTCATTTTGAACTTTAACCGGCGGCCATTTTGGAAATTTTGGTTTTTTTGAAAATCTAACGTCAAATTCGTTTTTCTCGTGTCAAAATACCCCAACATACCGATTTTCGCGCAAATCCATCGACAAATAACCGGTGTGAATTTTCGGCCATTTTGAACTTTAACCGGCCGCCATTTTGAGACGGTTTGAGATATTGACTTCGGATTTGCGCGAAAAGTTTTCTTTTTTTATGCTCTTTCGAACGAGCTATCACAAAGGGGGTCTTCCCATTTGAAAATTAAAAGTTGGGGGCCGTTGCCCCCCTAAGGGGGGCCCCCCTGAAAATTTTAGGGGGGCCAAAAAGTAGCTCCCTTTGACCTAGGAATATCCCCCAAGTTTCAAATCTTTACCTCAATTAGGTAAAAAGTTAGAGGGGGTGGAAGGGACTTTTGGATCACCCTGTATATAACCTCACCTAATAGTGAGAAACACCTAACAGAGGTCACAGGCACACTTCTCTAGTGACGATGCTTGGCAACAATATTTTTCCTTCATTTGAATGTATGCAAAATAATCGTTTCTTGGCGAGGTAGATTTCCTCACCTAATATCGATATTTTTTCTGGATTTAAATGGGAGAAACAGTGTTGCCAACCTGAAACAGCGCCATTTCTTTCAGGTTCGTTTTTAAATTATTATATGAGAAATTCAATTTTTGTTGCAGCAAAATGTCACATTCTGGTTTGCTACCGGCGGTGCTGGATTTTGTTTGAGTAGAGCTTTAGCCCTGAAAATGAAACCTATCGCAGGGTAAGTACCTCAGTAGATCTCTTTTTTACATTTTCACATCATTGATGATTTTGTTGACTTCCCAAGAGAGACAATTTTCTTGTTAAATCTTTTAATGGAATTTTTGAAATTGAAAAACATCACTCGATGGTCATTTTGGGCACAATAATGTTGCAGGTTTAAGATGGAGTGTTTGAAGTGATGCAATTTTTGCCATGCTTACTTCTTTTTCGTTCGTTTCGTTTTTACTGCTATTTTTATAACGCAGAAAGATGGATCAGATTCAGCGTTTGAAAATTAGTTCTGCAATAACGTTTTCACTAATGAGGAATGAATTGATTTTTCCACTTGAAATTTTCTTATCCGTCATGCGAAATATCCTGAAACTCAGAGGGGTATTGTTTAGAACCGAAGAAGAGGTTATTTTAGAGGAAAGGGGAAAGTCGACTGGACTTCGTTTTCCCTAAGGGAGACTTTTTCTTCAACAGCTAATTGAAAGAAATTCACACCCAGACTACACAGTTTTTTCCCTCCGGTGATTCTTGAAGGTTTACTTTTTTCTTTTTTTTTTGTAGCCATGAATTGGTATTAGCCCTATACTACAATGACTAAGACATTCACCTTCTTTTTGTGCGCGTCACTTAATTTAAGGATTATAGTTGATGAGATATTTATATCCTTTCATCGAGATATTTTTTATACGCCGGGTTGTCCAGAAATCCACTACCTGAGCCCCCAGTGCGACAAGGTGGATTTGCTCAGCAGTCGAATGCTCGCCCTAATTGACAGTTCCTATCAAATTGTATCATTAACTTTCCGTCTCTCTCTCTCCCTCTCCCCTCCCTTTTTTTCTTTTATAAACAATTGTAGGGAAGAATTTACTTCGGTATTTTAACGAAGCTCCCCCTCCTCTCATCGTAGCACTTGCCGATCTGAGGGTGTCTCGCTCCCACACCTGTCCGAGCGCGGCGTGTCGCGTCGCTCCTCGCTCGTCTCTCGAGGTATTTTCGCCTCCCCTTGGTTTCCGATCGATTTGTTGATTTTACGAAATCTCAACTATTTTATAACTCCATCTCCCGCGTGGGAAAATCCTTAATTATTCCTCCTAATTTGGTCAAGTCGAGGCCGGTTAATTCAGTCCCCTACCCCCTCTCCAGTCAAGCTCACAGGCTTACACACCTTGGAGGTATTCCTTTTTCTGTGTTTTCTTTCAAATTCTAGCTGTCGTCATCTCCGTGTATTTTGGTTTCTTTGTTTCTCCGTATAATTGGTGTCCTCTTAGGGGTGAGGGTCGATGGAATTATCGCTGATTATTGTTGGCTAATTGGCCGATAATTGTTGGTTGCAATTCTGGTTAAAAATGAAAGAAAAAGAACACTGGGGAAACAAAAAACGCATTGGATCTAGAGTCCAGACTCTTGAACACATTGACAAGAAAAAGGACTCTTGATTCAATCAGATTTAAGCTTAAATCAAAAGAAAATACGCTCAAATGAAGAGGCTTGGTTCTTGATTTAACAATAAGCTGAAATCTGATTGAATCAAGAATATTTTTTCTTGTCGATGTTTTTAAGAGTCTGGACTCTAGATCCAATGTGGTTTTTTTTTCCAGTAAATGCGAGAAGAAATGTATTCTTTTTAACGTTTCTATAATTAAAAATATGTTATCTAAACTGGACGCATCTTACACCAACTTATGAGAAACCGTACGGTCCTAAAAGTTTTCCAAAATATATTAAATTGATGTTAAAAATTTATGAAATGAAAATTCGATAGATAATTTAATATGTTCGTCTTACTCTTAATTCATTCTTACTTCAATTTTTCCAAATTTTCAGTTATTTTATTATTTTATTCTATTTTTATTTTTTTAAATGTATTGTTCATTTTTAATTTTTTTTCCGTCAATACACTTCCTCCATCGATTTTTCCTCATTATTTTTGCTATGCCACCAAAACCTCCGAGGCAGTCAGATTAAAATGTTTCTATTCAATTGAAATTTCCCCAAAGTTGTCTTCTAGTTCATTGAAACTAGTTTAAAGGATAGGAAAGACAGAGCCCTAGAACTAGATAGAACTTTGATCAAAGGTGGTCTATTTTCAGGTGGAACTCGATATCGTTAAGCAACTCAAACAGCTAACAAGTCCTGACCATTCTTTAGAAGTCCTCATAATTGTTTTGATAGAAAGAAAACGTAGATTAGAATTTAGAAGGCTCACAATACAAACAGGAGTAAAATGCCAAAATGAGGAAAATAAATGCATTTTCGTCGAATATCAGATTCTTTGTTTGTGAAACCCAATCCCTGAGTTGAAAACCATCGGGAAGGATCAAACGGAATCATTTCCAATTTTCAATGTTTGCAACCTGGAAGCGACCTTATAATTTACACATGTGTAAATATCTTCCAACTTTTTTTACTACAAGAAAGGATGTTTGATCCTATGTAAAACCAAAAAAATTATCGTGCGAATCAAGCTTGAGTAGCGATTTCTGCATGAGCATCTACAACTCCTCTCTGGGTTTCTTGTGGTGTCGATGCGTTTTGATTCTAGATGCGGCCGGCAAATGTCCCCCCCCCCTCCCCCTCTCCCTCGGGTCACTCTCAGTGTCTCAGTTAATTAACAATTTCAAATTTATGGGATTAATTAACTGTGACTTGGAACTGGGTCTATGAAAGACATAAGACTCCAGACCGACCGAAGACGCTTCGTTAACGAGATTCTCGCATAAGCCTTTTATCTTTAAGTCGCTGAATACCCAGTTGAGAACGGGCTCTATCAGAGTGAATAATCCTATCGAGATTTGAATAAGAGAAATCAGATTCCGATCGGCTGCTCCTGCTGGACCCGAGTGTTGAAAGTCGAACTAATGTAATGTATCGGAATATAGATGTTGGAACCAGAAGAACTCGTATCTTGATTGCGAGGTTTCCAATTTTTCGTTCTCTCCGTTTCCCCATTTTTCTCTTAATTTCGGTGCGGTGAAGAACCAGGCAGAATGATTGAAACCCTTAGATTCCTTTCCCTGATCTCAGAAGCAAAATACTTCTCGCAGTTTTTAAGGTCTGTGGTAAAAGGCATATAGAAAAAAATTTCAGGAGTGTATAGCATGATTCGAATCAAGGCTGTATTCTCGGTACAAACCCTCACACTAAAGGTGTTTTTTGATAGTACAAAATGAAGAATCTTAAATTTGTATTTAGTATCTCATTTTGTTTCTGAAAACAATTTTTGGATACCAATTCAAAGATTTGATGAAAAGCCGTGTTGCCTTTGAAAGTAAGAACGTTTGGCAATTCTCCTCCCTTTATCAGGGCCGGATTTACCTAATTGCCGCCCATGGGCCGCCTGTATTTTTCGGCCCCCATCTCATTCGTTTTGAAACGTCAATAAAACCGTCAAGTGAACGTGCCGGAGGAAGAGGGATGCATAAGACGCATCTACTCGTGTTGAATGCGTTTTTTGCGGAAGCCCTGTCAACACTACTAGCAAAAATTCACGGAACTTTGCGCGAAAGTTAAGTTCCGTAAACATGTCTCTGTGTGGACAATGCCCTCCATTAATAAGAAATGAACGAAAAAATCATGAAAGAACAATCATAAATGTGGTTCAATAATTTTAACTTCCACTGCCGCGCCGCCGTGCTGATCACACTTCGTTTGGCGCAATGCGTGAAGTATTCCTACACTCTTGTAGGCGCTATGCTTTTCACGCCGACCGCTGCTGAACGCACTGTGTTTGACGCAATGCGTGAAGTATTCATGCAGTCTTGTAGGCGCTATGCGTTACACGGCGACCGCTGCTGACCGCACTGTGGTTGACGCTATGCGTGAAGTATTCATGCAGTCTTGTAGGCGCTAACATGTGTTACAAGCCGACCGCCGCGCCGAGAGCCTCTCCTTTTCATCTCAAGTGCGTGTTTGGTTTCTCTCTCAACTAGACTAATGAAAGGACCTTCTGACACAAAAATGTCACTGACAATATTCAGATTCTAATGTCAGACCAAAACGGCCAAGAATGTTCATAAATGAGCGTTCTGGCCAAATCGCGTGTTTGGTTTCTCTCATAACTCGACTTATTAAAGGTGCTGTCTTTTGTATCTCCGCAAAACGGCAAAATTAGAAATTACGATACTCACAGGAAATGCAAGATTTTGTCGCCTTCTCCCGTTTGCAATTTTATTTTTATACCTAAATCTTAAAAAAAAAATTGCAAAATTTGCCGCCATGTGGCCACCCCCTTAATCCGGCCCTGCCCTTTATATTCCAATCGCGAAAGAGGAGAAAAATAAATAATTAGTAGTAACTGAGAAAATTAATGGGGTAAGTATTAAAAATTAGTGCTGGTACATACCTAGCCTCATTTGTAAACTTCCGAGGGACACCTTTAACATCAAGATTTCATTTGATCAATGTTCATCGGCTAATTGATTTAATTGACACAATACTATTTAAATATGTTTCAGGAGTGGCAAATTCATAAGCATTGGCGAGAGGATCCGACTTCCTGACGATGTGACAATGGGATACATTATCGGTAATATTTCAATCAAAAAACTATTCCGAATGAAATGGAGAAAAGCAAAGTTTTTGTTCCTTTCCTCCTGCAAAATTACATAGTATAAGTCTTTGTGCTCAATTCATCCTTGATATGCTTAAAAATGAAGACATCGTTACTTGGCTTTGGAAAGATCACTTTTGTGAACTCTTATCAACATCATATGCTTAAAAATGAAGACATCATTACGTGGCTTTGGAAAGATCACTTTTGTGAACTCTTATCAACATCATAACTTTAAAAATTCTCATGAGCAATAGTTGAAAAAATTACTCATACCTGTATAAGTTCAATTTCGTTGGAACTTTTTATGTTGAATGCAGTTTGTTCTGTGTTGTTTAGCCTAGCCTATTTTAATCACATAGTTGACAAGAAACAAGGTGGAGAAACGGTGCTGGGTCCACACCATTTCGCGGGAAAAACAAGGCCAAGAAGTTCCGAAAATTATAATTGGAGTCAAAATTAAATTTGTTGAACTCTAATACGTACCAGTACGAAACTGAGGGGGGAGAGTGTTCAGCTCAAGCAGTTTGCATTGGAATATTAAGTTGGAGTCACGCCGAGAGATCTATACCGGTTTGGGCCTTTTTAGACCTTATCAGCAGATCACATTTGACTCTAATTATAATTTTTGGAACTTCTCGGCTTTGTTTACCCCGCGAAATGGTGTGGACCCAGCACCATTTCTCCACCTTGTTACATAGGTACAGTTTGGGCCACTTTTGGGCCTTTTTAGACCTTATCAGCAGATCGCATTTGACTCTAATTATAATTTTTGGAACTTCTCGGCTTTGTTTTCCCCTTGAAATGGTGTGGACCCAGCACCATTTCTCCACCTTGTTACATATAGTTTGGGCCACTTTTGGGCCTTTTTAGACCTCATCAGTAAATCACATTTGACTCTAATTATAATTTTTGGAACTTCTTGGCTTTGTTTTCCCTGTGAAATGGTGTGGACCCAGCACCATTTCTCCACCTTGTTACATACAGTTTGGGCCACTTCTTGGTGTTTTCTTCTTCTTCTTCTTCTTCTTCTTTTCAGTTAACAAGAAATATGGCTTGCTCTGAAATTAGACCAAATGAAAAAACAAAAACAAAAAGAAAACATTGCTATATTCAAGCTGCATGTTCATTAATATATCGAAGGGTGTGAGCAGTTCAGTAAAACCTATGTAGGTACTTGGGAAAACGGTAGATTTTCTCAAAATCTTAAAAAAATTATGAAATAAATTATAAGCTAATAAAATGTAAAAGTCACATCCATACTACCATTACTTCCGCTTTCTTTAGCAGTGGGTAAAATGAGTCATAGTACCCACAGAATTTTTTTCCATTGAAATCTGTTTTTTGTTTTTGTTTTTTTACATCAAATTCATTTGACAGTCATAGAAAAAACCAAAGGAGAATCCAGATTTGTCCAACCACTCTGTCCAAAAAACATTTTGATCAATTTGGTACCATTTGTATTGCATTCCTTTAAAAATCTACATTCATATTCTTTGATCATGTTCTACAATTGCTTATGTATTTAATCTCAATTTTATTCTTCACTCCTTCTGTTACAGAGCACATGTTGGGTAAATCGTTAACTATGGTTGATGAGTTCCATTCACACCTGGAGCCCATGAAATTTTTAGGACAAGACACCTTCCAAGACCAGGTGAGCATCTTATTCATTCCTTCAGTCATTCGTTCATGCATCTATGCATCCATTTACTTAGTGATTTTTGCAGGGTTCAGGGACTTGGAATGTTGACTCACAGTGTATCACAGGCCACTTTAGAGTTCAAACATCCCTTTATGAATAATTTGAAATTGAGCACAATAAAATCAAACCTTGACATATTCATTTTGATTTTAGAAATGTGTTTTGAACTTTTGGACATTGTCATTTTAGAAACTTGTTTTGGACTAATAGACATTGTCAGAGCAAAAAATTGACTCACCGTAAGGGTTGAATATCACAAATCACATTGCTGCTAAAACAAAAGTCAGCACAACGAAACATTTATGAGCCCTGTGCAGCCAATACATTTTCAAAACACTATCAAGTAAAGTAGAATGCATCGATGAAAAAAGCAGGACCCATCGGAAGCAATATATCATAGTAATGTAAAATTGTTAAAGCATCACAAATTACGGAAACGAGTTAAATGAAAAACTAGAGGTTCAAACTGAAAGGAACATAGTAACCTTTCAATGTTAAAGTTCAACAATTGCTTCTTATCATTTTGAAACATGCATATGGCAAGTGAAACTAAAAACTAAAACCATTTAATTTTTTTTCTAAAGAAGAAAATAAGAGACCTCATTTATTATTTAACTTGTTCAGAAAGTTACAGAAAATTCTATTGGAACTGCATAACTTAATGTGATTTCATAAGGACTGATGGATCAAAAATGAAAAATCAGTTTATCATTTTAGTAAATGTTAAAAGCAATTTCTTTTCAAATTTTCAATCGTAGGTGTATCCACTAACTTAAAAAATTTATGATACAAGTAAGAGAAACTTACTTTTCATATGATCTCGTCAATTTACTATGAATAGACATTTTTTTTAAAGAACTCTTTGTTCAATGCCTTGTGTTTGAGTTCTTTTTTTCTTCAAGTTAATCTCTTCTATTGTTTTTTCCTTCCTATCCTCTTCTGTAAAACAATCTGTATTTGCAAACACCCTTTTGTTAATGTTTTCAGAGGTGTAAATGGCCTCCGGTGTCAAGGCATCTCGAAAAATAAATTCATCCTACTAGTACTGTCATTCCTAATTCCTTGAATGAGAAACTATCTTCACTAATATCATGAAAGTAGAAAATCCTCTGCATTATTTCCTAACTACTTGACAACTTCTGAAATGCCTTTTTTCTAATATGGACTTCTGCTTCAATACATTTTCTCTTTCTCCAAAAATATGCCAAACGAGATTTTGAATTTTTTGTGTATTTTACCGACATCCTAAACATTTTACATCTCCTTTTTTCCAGATAACTTTTAGCTATTCACAGTATGGCAAAGATGATTGGAATGTTGTTAAAATTGATGGCTTTGCCCCAAGGATAGACCGTACCAGGTACAGTCTCTATTTTTATCGTTTACCTAAGTTTTGGTGGATTTTTATATCTCAGCTCGGCCTGCTGTATCTTCTTAGCTCATCCATAAATTGTTACCTAAGTGTGATGCTCTATGTTTAAAATGGAGAAAAGTATGGTAGGCTTTTGTCATACTTTTTTCTCCTTGAAAAAAGTTGATGGATGGTGCCAAAAATTTAGGTGATCAGGGGAGCCATTTGAGGTAAAAATATTTTTCCACAATTTTTTTAAAATTCTTTTTTTACAAACTTAATACATTTTTAAAACTCATTATTTCGAAGAAAAAAAGAGAAAAAAAGGGAGGAAGAAACCCCCCCCCCCCCCCCCCAAAAAAAAAAAATCAATAATATCTGTCTTGTAGCCTTCATTAATTTTAATATCAAAGCTGCCAGGAAAGATTATTTAGATACATAATCCTGTCCTAAGTGAAAAAACTCCACAGATCACCCCTACCTGATGTTTTGGTTTGTTTTTGCCATGTTTGTAATGCAATCTAAAGCCGTTATTTCATCTAGTTATCGGGTTTGCAAGTGGAATATGCTCTTGCAAATTCAAAACAGTTTTTAGAGTTGATTCATGGTGGTTGTGTTTGGTTTTAGCCTAAGATTCTCAAAGCCAGGTGACCTCGACAACTAATCTAGAAAATATCAAGTGGGAAAAAAAACGCAAGGGGCTGGCCAGCTCATATTGATTAAATTCCTTTCTTTAAATACCTAAGATGTTTTGGTCAATACATATCGAGTCAAGAGTCAGTTGTTATTGTTGTAAAAGTGAAAAAATTATCAATATTTCCTGATACTTATTTAGTTTATGAGTTTCATTCCCTACTTTTCTTTCTCCTAAATAAAAATATTTTTGCAGCAATATATTCTTAATTTTCAGCTAACTTTTTACTCTCCTGGAAACTTGAAGTGTGTTGAATGATCATTTTATATTCAGCCTGTGATTTTTTTTCTGTTTCAAAAAGTGAGAGTTATCTAAGAGGAGGTTTTTGTTTTATTTTTTGCTGCTTTGCTAATTCATTTGTGCTTGCACATTGTACTGCAGCTAAGAGTAATTGTGATTTTTTCTTTGATTTCAGGTTCTTGTCATTGCACTGCTATCTATTTCCATATTTCACATTTTGTCCAAGGTGACTTTTGATGAAGAAATGAGTTATCCCTAGGACATGTCAGTTGATACAGCTCTAGTCATTCAGAAGAATTCATGGATGAAGTCTTTCCTCCTTCTCATGATGTTATCGATATGCATACTTCAACGAGATGAAGTAAAAGATGTAGGATGTCAAATAATTTCTTTTGATCATTCTTGTCAAAGAATAATGTGTGAACTATTTTATTAGCATGACAGAACCTCAGGTAATTGATGAGGAGGCAGAGAGTTAATTTTGTTTTTTAAACATAACCTTTGAAGTTGCCCAAAGGTTTCTCCATTCGCATTGAACAGTGCTCATTAGCATTGAATTGTTAAAACAAAGTTACTGTTGCCTTTAGATAGGACTAATTTCCAATGTTCTACATCTTTACTTGTCTGCTTTAAGAGTTCAGTTTTGCAGCCTAGGGAAAGTTCAATTGAGAAGGGTTCCAGAAGGAGGGCTCATAATGGTCTGTGCCGATTTCGTCAAGCAGTGGCTAACTAACTGGACAAACGGCAACGTAGCTGAGACCCTTGCAATTTATTTATCTTGATCAGACAGATCATTGAAACAAACTAGTCCATGTTTTATGGGCTCCTCTTGTGGAAATCCTCACCAATTAGAAAAGTTTAAAAATCCAGAAGAACTGATTTTTCTTAGTTTTGTATTCTTAGGCTAGCAATGCTGTTCCAATGGGTGGTATTCATATCACTTAAAATGATCATGATTGTAATTTTTGGGGGAAATTCAACCAAAATTAAGTGTCCAAAAACTGGAGCACAGTTAAAAAGAAAAAAATACATTTACTTTGTTTCAAATGCTCACAGTAATTATGTTTTTGATTTCTTATTATTAATTGATTTGATTTCTTCATAATTACATCAAAATTGTTCTTGACAGTCACTTTTGTAAATATTATTATTATAAAAGAGAATGTGAATGAAGTTGATCCTTGTTTGAAAGAAATACTCTTTGACAGACTCCTGAGGACAAATTAAGAAGTTGGTTTTTAATGCCTTCGCATTTTCTAATTAGCTGTTCATTATCTCATTTTGGCGGGTTTCCCCCAGTATCAATCTTGCTTAATCTCTTACTACTTATGCAAGAATAACTTTTCCAATATTTAAACATTGCAAAAATTAGTAAAGACTCAGGATCCATGAAATACTCTAATTTGTGTTGCAATTTTTAGGAATTTTGTTGAGTTTTTCATCCATTCGTGGATTTTATGAAATAATTTGTAGTATGTATGTGTAATTATAAGGAATTTTTAAATATTTACCATATGAAGTGTCCTTTAAGTCATTTTGCACCCTTACAATCCTCAAAGTGTCAAGTATTTAATTCATCCTGTTTTGATTGAAGAAAATGTTGCATGTGTTCAATTATTAAGGAAATTATAAGGTAATACATCAGATTTCTGAGTTACAATAAAAATATTTGTGATGCCTCGTATCCATGTAGGTACTATCTCATGCTTTATTTAGTGAAAAATTTTATTTTTGAAAGGTGGATTTTTATCATTTTGCTTTGTTTGGTCCTCCATATTTTTCCTGGGTTGAAGAACCTTTTACTTTAATTTGTTACTTGTCTCTAGATTGAGATTTCATTTTAATGCTCAGCAACAATAACATGTGGCCTTTTTTCTCTTGTTCTCCCTCTTATGTTAAGCTCGAGGAAAAAACATGTATATCCTTCCTGAAACTCTTTTGCTTCGAATTCTGCCTTTGTTTGACTCAGAAACATTTGATCATTATGAAATTAGTAAGGGTGCCAAATTCCTTATTGACACTTTGTATGTTTGTTTTTTCTTCATTAATATTATTTCGGCTGTGATAGTGTAAGTTTTTAGAGGGCTAACATGTAAAATTTCTCCTTTTATAATAGCTGACTACACTCCCCATTATCTTCATAGTAAATCATTTTCTCTAATATAATTGATGACCAACCCAAACTCTTGCTCGTATCATTTGTAGTTGTATATTTTGTAATTCTGGAAGCAACACCTTCCTATTCCTCTTGTTAACTGATGTCAATTTTATGCTGTTTAGGAATGATATCAAATTTTCTCAGTGTTGATTTAGGATGCAGTTGAATAAATTAATTTCTAATTTATTCTGAAGTGCAAAACTCAAGTCATGTTCAAGAATTCTCTGATGCAAAGATTTTTAGGATTTTTTTATGTTTCAGAAATGACTCTGTATTCTTGAGCTTTAATTAGTTCTAATGAAGGGAAAGTTCTGGGACACCACCTGTTTTACTAATTTAACTGTAAATTTTTGCGGTTATAAAGCTAACAATGTCTCTTATCTCTTGTACTCACATTTATTTGCTTACAAAGTCCATGTTGCTTAAATAATAACGAAAATTGTAAGATTATTATTGACCCTATAATTGTGACAATGTAATAACAAAAGAACAGTAAGTATTATCGAACCATTGCAATTTAATGAAACAAGCATATAAGTAACATCTGTTGAAGGCACTCAATTAAAGGTGCAAATGTTATAGCTGTGTCAAGCAATAGTGAGCTTGTTCAAGAGATCAGAATATTTTTCTTTAGTCTTTTTGCATCGGAGTTTTCTCTAAAACATGCTCAACCAAAATGATCAAGGAAACCCTCAAGTTTGCTATCAAATTATAAGTATAAAACACTGAAATTTTCTAAATCGATCTTTTTTTTAAAGTTTTAAAGTATTTGTATTTCTATTGACTAAAATGGACCTTAATTAGGTGCATTATGTTTTGAAAAATTAACCTCAAAGATTTTCCAGGAACATCAAAGATAGATAATTTGAGGCACTGGATGCGAAAAGGGCACTTCTTGATTGCCGTCCCTCAGAATCTCTGTTTCTAATAAATACCATGGAGAAAACTAGAATGGACGATTTTTCCAGAATTCTTTTCATAGAAAATAGTAAAATCATAAGGAGTATTCAGTAAAATTTTTAGTGAAATGGATGCATTCACTTTCCTTACAATGAATTAAATATTAGAGATGACTCTGAAACACTGCAACCGAGAAGTGCCCTTTTTGCATCCAGTGCTTTATTCAATATAGACTGTAAAATTGGACCTGAAACAAATTCTACTGAAAGTTTTATTATGGCATTCAGGGCTTTAAGACTGACTGTGCCATCTCATTTGTTTACATTTGTCTGTAGTACCTTTCATTCCTCTACTCTTTCGTTGTATTTTCATATTTTTACTATTCATACTTGACTATATATCTTATCATCTCATGACTGAAACATTAGTGCCTTAATTAATGTATCAGATTCGGTCCTCAGCAGTTGATCATAAAAAAAGCTTTCTAAGAATATGTGTTACAAATTATTTACATTCAGATTTTAATTGATGTTTTTATGATTTGTTATTTTTCAAATTATTTTAATATTTTTTTGATTTACTTGAAATTACTAAGAAATGAATTTTTAATTTTGAGGACATCCCCAATTTATTGTAAAGGTATTTTAAGGTTTTCGTTCATCAAGTCATGGGTTAATGCAGAAATATGTTCAGTATAACAATGCTGTCAATGAGATCCTTTCGCTAGGTATGTTATTTGGCCTCCTACGGTGAAGTGGTTGTAGCGCTAGCTCTATGATCTGGAGGTCCTGGGTTCAATTCCCGGCCAGGCGACCCGAGTTTGATGGTCTCAAACAATGGTTGCCTGAGACTGGTTGTAGGGGCCGAGGGGGGGCGGGACTGAAGCGCAAGGATTAGCTCTCGTGGGTTATTTGAAGTGGTAGTAAAAAAAAGAAAAAAAACCTAAATTATTACAGTGGCATCTGTTTTTTTTTCTTTATCCAGATCACTTGTCCTTATCCATTGCTTTTGTCAAATTCTTGCTGTCTAATATACATGTAAGCAATGGGCATTCATGCTCGTGTGTATCATTCACAATGGACAACCAGATGGGGGTAAATGTTAAGCATCGCAGTGAATGTTTGCTCACTAAAATGGATTGCAGTGATCACATCAATTTTTTCTAATTCCTTCAATTCATAAATTAGAAATAAGCGTCTTCTGTAATCATCAATTCAAACTGTAACTTTTAACACCAATTATCCGATTACAAGTTGGTACTAAATATGTAAAAAATGTTCAACACTTTATAGTGTGAAATTTTGACAAGGAAACATGTGTTCTGATGCTTTCAACTTTAACTTTCTCCAGTGATCCACTAGAGGGAAAAGGTAAATTCACTTCGTGTTAGTGATTCTGTTTGGTTTTTTTTTTAAATTTACAAATCAAACAAAACAAATTGAATGTAAAACAACAAAAGCCAACATGAACAAATTTCTCAATTTTACTTATCCTTTACCAAACTATAATTCTCTATTTTCATAGATTTAAAAATTTCAATACTTTTTAGCAATGTCGAAATTTATGTATACAAATGAAAATAATAGGAGAGAATCATTTAGAATATTGAAGTGAATATCTTTTATCCCACATAGTTAAAGAAATATTTACCCTCATTTACCCCTTTCATTTTTCATCTTGTAAACTGTCACTTATTTTCGACTTTGACCACTGAATTCTTAAAGTCAAGTCCCTCATGTCCCCTTACGACCTCCCAAGCAGATAAAATTTGAAATTTTTGAGAGAGATCGCTTTATAAGTATGAATTACCTTTCTAGATTTTACAAGTTTTCCTGTAGAAGTCTAAATCAAAGTGCTCTACACACCCTAGGGTGGGACTTATTTTTTTAAATCGACAAAACCAAATGTTGCACGGTCTTAAATGGTTCTATGTGATAAAAAAACACGGTAGCCAAGAGGATTTTCAGAAAAAAAATTTTTAACCCGGCGCGCACAGAGCCTAAACATCGAGATTTTTCCGGTTTTTTTGGCATTTTCGCCGTATATTTTTGATATTTTTGCCAGCAACACGGATTTGACGCTAGATGTCCAAAAATTGGTA